CTACGTTCACCATTATCAGTGCCATTAATATTATGAGCCGGTACGAGTTACCTGGTTTATCTAAAGGTAATTTTATAAGGAGGCTTTAACAAAGACGCCCACCTAAGCGACTCCCGCCAATCAGGTTGAAGAATCTTCCCTTGCGTGATGTTCTGATTGGACGTTTAACATAGTCTCTGAGGGAGGGTGAGGTGGTGGATGGGTGGGTGGGTGGAGAGGGATGAGGGTGGGGAAAGTGAAGTGAGAGGGAGGTGAGTGAGGTGAGAGGGAAGTGAGTGGGGAAGGGAGGAGGTAGGAGATACAACCTCTGTCACGATATGCGTATGGCGTCACTGTGGGGGGAGGGGGACAAGATCCAGCTATCCAACACTGTCGTTAAGGATGGAGGACTCGTGTATTAGCGCGTCGTTATGGTTCTTATGGTCCTTGACTTCATTATCGAGAGCCAATATATAGGTAGACAAGTTAGTAAAGAAACTGGTCAATGATTCTCTCTCTCTCTCTCTCTCTCTCTCTCTCTCTCTCTCTCTCTCTCTCTCTCTCTCTCCTGGATGATGTGAACGATAAATAGAATCAATTTTGCTATTGAATGATTTACTATGACTATTGAAATTAGTTGTTTTCACTCCCATTCTGGTATTGACTAGTAGCAGCTGATATCTGCTATTGACACGCTAGTATCCTCTCCACGAGTCTTAGTGATTGTTTTCTTCTTGTGAGTGACACGTGGTTCCCGATCCCCTGTAGTTAATATTCAGATTATCGTAAACAAAACAAACGCCAATGCAGGCAGAAGACAGTCAAGCGTTCGTCTGGCGATGTTTTTATTGTGTGTCATGGCAAAATTACATCCCAACCGATCTCTGTTTGTTTACGTAATTTTCACCGACGAAAGAAAATGGTCTCAGAAATATACACGTGAAGGGGTAACTAACTTAAATATTTTTCTTTTGTTTTTAGTATATTTTTTTTCGTCATTAAGATGGGGAAGGTGATTAGATATAATAAATTACCTAAGTATTAGCTGTACTAGTTTATATATATATAGTAAGGTAGTGTCTTATCTTCTCTGGTTGTGGAAAGTAGAATCTCGTGATGAAGTTTTTGTATGCAAGTGTCGAGTTCTTTCAGTATAGCAAGTTGCCGTGTGTGTGTGTGTGTGTGTGTGTGTGTGTGTGTGTGTGTGTGTGTGTGTGTGTGTGTGTGTGTGTGTGTGTGTGTGTGTGTGTGTGTGTGTGTGTGTGTGTGTGTGTGTGTGTGTGGCGTGTGTTTTAGGGAGGAGTTTTGATCTTCATTATGTGTTTGACAGCACATTCTACCTTAACGACGAGGGTTCTACTCTTTCATAGTAGCTGGTGGAGATCGCTGATATGAGATGGTGTAGCACTAAAAGCATACAAAAGACACACACACACACCTAACAAACCTGGACTTTGTTAATGAAGGTGCAGAAGGTAAGACGCATATAAGAGTCTTTAATGAACACCTGTGAGGTGAGAGACTCACTAATGAGGGAAATGTAAAGGTTGAAGGCGTACCTGAACACTTACCTCCTCCTCCCCCCTCCTCCCCTTCCCTCCCCCTCTCCTCCCCTCTTCCTCCCCGTTCCCCTCCTCCCCCCTCCCCGTACCTACCTGCATAGGGTGATATTGGAAGTATTCTCGTTGTGCCTTTGACAGTTGTAAAATTGAAATGTGAGGAAGATAGTGAGGAATATTCTCAGTGGTATTAACAAGTACACACACACACACACACACACACACACACACACACACACACACACACACACACACATGGTGCCAACTTTGAACCCCTAACATGACCCTTAATTGTTTTAAAGTGAAGTTAATGGAGATAATTGGAATATTATGACACCTGTTTCAATAAGCTTAACGAGAAGCTTAATGGCCAGAGCGGGGAGGTTCTTAAGCAGCTTTTAATGGGATGAAAGTAAAGCTTAATATTGGTAATTGGGGTGATACGAGGAAGAGAGAGAGAGAGAATAAAGAAGAAATGAAAGAGAGAAAGAGGGAGGGGAATAATTGAGATAAACAGAGAAAGAGAAAGACCAGAGAAAGAGAGAAATATAAAACAACCAAATATATAGGAAAGAACGAAAGAGAAAATAGAAAAGACAAAGAAATTAACAGAAAAATCTCTCTCTCTCTCTCTCTCTCTCTCTCTCTCTCTCTCTCTCTCTCTCTCTCTCTCTCTCTCTCTCACCATAACACTCGAGAAGTCATTTTATTTTTGATGCCTGGTTCCAGTTTTCATTCCCCTCCTTCGCTTTCTGTCGTTCCCTGTCATTTTCTGTCGTTGGGAGTTCATTCAATTGTCGCATTCATCATCTGTCATCATCTGTCATCTTCTGTCATTTTCTCCCGTCTTGAAAATTCATTCAAGTGTGTGTGTGTGTGTGTGTGTGTGTGTGTGTGTGTGTGTGTGTGTGTGTGTGTGTGTGTGTTCATTTACTGTCAATTTTGTGAATTGACATTTGGTAATTTTCTCCGCGCGATCAGCTGTTGTTGTCTTTGTGAAGGTAGTGTGTGTGTGTGTGTGTGTGTGTGTGTGTGTGTGTGTGTGTGTGTGTGTGTGTGTGTGTGTGTGTGTCCTTCCCTCCTCCTTCTCCTCCCTCTTCACTTCTCTCCTACTCCATCTCCTTCCTTTAACATTCTTACTTCGTTCTCTCTCCTCCTTCCCTTTCCCATGCCTTTCCTCTCTCCTTCCCACCCCTTTTTCCTTCATTCTACCTCTCCACCTCCTTCCAATTTCCTTTCCTGCATTTTATCATATAGGATTTACTACCTTCCCCTCTCTATCTCCCCATCTCACCATTATACCAACACAGTGACCAGATTGCGTGCGTGTGTGTGTCTGTACGTGAGGGCTGGTCCTGCTGGACAATACCCATGATCCAACAGGCTACAGCTCCGGCACGAACCCTTAACTTTCTATTTAAACCCACGCCCACCCCTCAACCCTCACCCCTCCATGCCCCCCTTCCACCCTCCCACCCCCCATCCACTCATTCTAATATTTTGGATGGTGGGGATTATCGAGCCTTGTGTTTTGTGAAGGTTTTATTTACTTACGCTGGAGGTGTTGGAAAGAGGTGAGGAGGTGTGTGGAGTGAGTAAGAGTGAAATGTGGGTGAATAGAGTGAAGGTAATGGGTAGTGGGGGGTTTGAGGAGGTGTGGGTGGTGGGGGGGGTGAGGAGGATCTCATGGAATACGGGGAGGTGAGGGGGAATATGGGAGGGGTGTGGTTGTGGGGGGAGGTGAGGGAGGGGGGAGTAGGAAAGAGGGGAGAGTGAGACTAGAAGAGTGGGGGAGGGATGGTGGGATTGGTGTTTTTAGTTCAGCTGGATGGTGTCAGCCCCCACTCCCCCTCCCATCACACACACACACACATACACGCCATTGGATACAACACCAGAACCACAACGCTGCTTTACCGTGACCCCAGTAGACCAACACTTCTCTTAACGTAAACACACTACGTCATTCAGTAAGAACTCTACGTTATAACCAAACTCTGGGCGTAGTTACCGCGTTATTTTTGCGAGAGGATGATAACGTATATAACCCCTTGAGTACGATAACACCACCCCTGCTGAGTACGATGGCTCACCCCCTCGAGTATCAGGATTTTTATACCGGGAAAATATTACAGTGTCTACCCCCTGAGTACGATACTTTAATCCTCTGAACATGGTAGAGTACGATAACTTAACGCCCCGAGTACGACGATACCTAAACACACACACACACATACACACATACACACACTATATATATATTGACAAATCTGTTACAGTGAATTGATCCTTATATGCATGGTGACAATAAGTGCCTATAGCCAATCTAGTGTTCTTCATTAACCTAACCTAACCAAACCTAACCAAACCTAACCTAACCAAACCTAACCTAACCTAACCCTTATGCTTATTAACTTAACTCTTGTTTTATTTCCAGAAGTAAACATTTTAATTGGATTTATAATTTCCCGATTTCTACAGTACAGGTTTTATAAAGGTTTTTCTGTACCTGCAATTACTGTATTTGCTGTTAATTTATTGTATTGTAATCTACCCACTTCCATCACCCTTAACTTCGTCTCTTCTCCCCACCTACATCACCCCTTAGTCTCCCCTCCCCACCTACATCACCCCTAACATTCATCTCTTCTCCCCACCTACATCACCCCTAACTTCATCTCTTCTCCCCAACTACATCACCCCTTAGCCTCTTCTCCCCACGTACTGTACATCTCCCCTAACATTCATCTCTTCTCCCCACCTACATCACCCCTAACTTCATCTCTTCTCCCCAACTACATCACCCCTTAGCCTCTTCTCCCCACGTACTGTACATCTCCCCTAACAATCATCTCTTCTCCCCACGTATAGGTGTTTGTCCAGTGTTGTGTAGTAACCACGGCACATACGGCGGTGGACTGTGTCACTGTGAGGTGGGCTGGAAGGGTCGGGAGTGTGACATACCTGATACTGACTGTGAGGTGCCAGACTGTCATGGGCATGGCACCTGTGTGGACGGCACCTGTGTATGTCAACCTGGCTGGAAGGGCGACCACTGTCAGACTGGTAAGTGACTTGTCATTTTGTACCCCAGGTGTGTTAACTGGTGACGTCATTAAGTGTTAAGAGATGTGTTGACTGGTGACGTCATTAAGTGTTAAGAGATGTGTTGACTGGTGACGTCATTGAGTGTTAAGAGATGTGTTGACTGGTGACGTCATTAAGTGTTAAGAGATGTGTTGACTGGTGACGTTATTAAGTGTTAAGAGATGTGTTGACTGTTGACGTCATTAAGTGTTAAGAGATGTGTTGACTGGTGACGTCATTAAGTGTTAAGAGATGTGTTGACTGGTGACGTCATTAAGTGTTAAGAGATGTGTTGACTGGTGACGTCATTAAGTGTTAAGAGATGTGTTGACTGGTGACGTCATTAAGTGTTTAGAGATGTGTTAACTAGTGACGTCATTAAGTGTTAAAAGATGTGTTGACTGGTGACGTCATTAAGTGTTAAGAGATGTGTTAACTGGTGACGTCATTAAGTGTTAAGAGATGTGTTGACTGGTGACGTCATTAAGTGTTAAGAGATGTGTTAACTGGTGACGTCATTAAGTGTTAAGAGATGTGTTGACTGGTGACGTCATTAAGTGTTAAGAGATGTGTTAACTGGTGACGTCATTAAGTGTTAAAAGATGTGTTGACTGGTAAGTGACTGTCATAATTATAAGGATTATTAGCCATATAGAGTGTTAATGAACTGTATAACTGTTTAGACTGGTAAGTAGACTGTCATTTGTTCAGGATCATATTATGTAACTGTATTTACGGGTTATAGAAGAAAACCGGCAAGTCCAGGTATTATTATTATTATTATTATTTTTATTATTATTATTATTATTATTATTATTATTATTATTATTATTATTATTATTATTATTATTCCTCCGAGTCTTCTAGTGAGGAAGAATTAGTTTGTTCCGTCAAGGATAACTTATTATGCTGTAAGTAGCTCCGAGATATTGGTGTGTGTGTGTGTGTGTGTGTGTGTGTGTGTGTGTGTGTGTGTGGCTGAAGGAACAAGTGTGATGAGAGTGTGTGTGGGTTTTAAAACATGGCTCAGGGCGGTGAGGGGATGGTGGCCAGGGAGAGAGAGAGAGAGAGGGGGAGAGGGGGGGTTGGAAGGAAAGAGAGAAAGTGAGAGAGACAGGAAGAGTATCAAAAGGAAATATCGAGGTCGGAGGTAATCTGAGGGGGTGAGGCGTGGAGGGTATGAGGGGCGGAGGGGTGAGGGGCAGGGGGTGAGGGGGTGAGGCAGTGTTAACAACCAGCCAACTGAAATAACTAGCTTGGGTCTTGTTCCCTCCACCCACCTTCCACTCTCCACCCTTCCTCCCTCCCTCCTCCCTCTCCCTCCTCCCTCCCTCCTCCCTCCTCCTCCTCCCTCCCTCCCTCCTTCCTTCCCTCCTCCACTCCTTCCCTCCCTCCTTCCTTCCTCTTCCCTCCCTCCTCCCCCCCTCCCCCCCACCTTTTTGCCTCTGTCGTCGACTTGTGTGTGTCCGGCAGAGCCACCACCACTACCACTACTACCACTACCACAACTACTACCACTACTACAACTACTACATTGCTACCACCACTACTACTAGCACCATTACCACCACACTACTACTACTACTACTACTACGACTACTACTCTTCTCTGATCATTTTCAACCTGGACTTTTTGGTATTGGCAAAAAGTGAAAATTTATGAATAATTCCGTAAAATACAAATTAATAATCTCCCTCTCCCCTTCACCCCCTCTCCCTTCACCCCCTCTCCTTCCTCCCCCCTCTCCCTTCACCCCCCTCTCCCGCCCCCAGCCCCCTCCGCCCCCTCTCAAATAAATATACCAAATTTTGCCTTAGATTTTAACCCATTAGTATTTGGTATGTATGAAACGAGTCTTTTGAGGCCCTGAGCAGATTTTGATATAGATTTAAATTAATATCTAAATTTTAAGTTAGAATTAGAAAACAGTCTGTGTGTGTGTGTGTGTGTGGGTGTGTGTGTGTGTGTGTGGGTGTGTGTGTGTGTGTAAGACGGTCAAGCCAGAGTATAAAATTTTTATGCTGTGGTGATAAGAGGATTGTAGCCCCGTGTTCTTATGTTTCAACCTCCTGAAGAAACTAATTATTTTGTACAGTCTCTCTCTCTCTCTCTCTCTCTCTCTCTCTCTCTCTCTCTCTCTCTCTCTCTCTCTCTCTCTCTCTCTCTCTCTCTCTCTCTCTCTCTCTCTCTCTCTCACACACACACACACACACACACACACACACACACACACCTTAAGCTCTCTGACAGTGTACACATTAAGCTATATTTTTCTAATACTCTCGGCTGTAATTTTTTTTTACAGGATTTTCGGAACTCTGATTTAAGGTTAGATTAGGTTAGGTTAGGTTAAGTTAGGTTAGGTTAGGTTAGGTTAGGTTAAAGTAATTGGGCTGTTAAGGTGGCTATAATTATGGGGGTGTAATTGGCGTTGACTGTATTACGTAGAAAAGGTGATTTATATACCGTTATTAGTGTATTAATACGCGGTCTTAAATAACCGTGATTGTAATGCGGTAATAATGTGGTTTATTTACCGTTATTTTGTCTATAGTTTTACAGTCTTAATGGTTATGGCATTACTATGGAAGAGGTGATTTATCTAGTGTTATTTATGCATCGTTATAACTCTACTGTCATCGTGTTCAATAACAGTAATTGCATTATGAGGTAGGAGGTAATTTCTGGAGGGTAATTTGTCTCTAACAGTTATTGCATTAATAACGAAGGAGATATTTTATATAGCTTAATTAGTCTACAGCTGCAATAACTAATGGTGATTGCAAGGAAAGGTTGGTAATTTACATAACGATATATGTATGTAATTGCACGGCCAGGTAACGATTCATTATGTAATGCACAGGATAATTTACTAGGTCGCTCGTGTGTGTGTGTGTGTGTGTGTGTGTGTGTGTGTGTTTTCTCTTATCTGAGATTATGTTAATGAGGGCAGGAAAGTTTGCACCAGGCAGCAGCCGAGTGCAGATAATCCCCTATCCCCCCCTCCCCCCTGCCATCCCCCCTCCCGGCCCCCCGCCATCCCCCTCCCGGCCATCCCCCCACCTCCTGGCCTGAGGGGTAATTATGAGTACCTGCTGTATTGTAATTAAAAGAAAATTTGTGATTTACCACACTAGATAATGGTGTGTGTGTGTGTGTGTGTGTGTGTGTGTGTGTGTGTGTGTGTGTGTGTGTGTGTGTGTGTGTGTGTGTGTGTGTGTGTGTGTGTGTGTGTGTGTGTGTGTGTATGTATGTATGTATGTTGGTGTGCATTTATGTACGTATATATGTGTGTTTACGTTTATAATACTCACAAATCCTTCTTTTTTTATTTTCAATTTTATTTACAATTAATCATATTTTTTAGTTAATTTCCTGTCTTTCGTTATTTACATATTTATTTATTTATTTATTTACATTTTCATTTACTTTATCTCCTCAGTTAAGTCATTCCCGGAGGCAGCAGGTGTGTTCCTTTCCACCAGGTGTTTTGATAATTAACTCCCGTCTGTATATCGCTCTCTATAAGGTCGAAGTATATCGTTATTGCAGGTGTATAATATATTAAGTCATACATGTAGTGTAGGTATATCGTTATTGACGGTGTATAGTATATTAAGTCATATATGTAGTGTAGGTATATCGTTATTGACGGTGTATAGTATATTAAGTCATATATGTAGTGTAGGTATATCGTTATTGCTGGTGTATAGTATATTAAGTCATATATGTAGTGTAAGTATATCGTCATAATTTAGTTGGTATATTTCGTCTTGTAGGTAATAATTATAACAGGATGTATATCGTTAATGATGTATTCAGTATATTTCACTTTATGTTGTATAACCTGAAGGTATATCGACAGTGGAAACGATATATGTTAAACTTGCCCTTAGAGTATAACACATATGGGTATAACTTGTATATATCGCCTGGTGTGTGGTATATCGCTGTAGGTATGAAGTATATTTCGTATTGTATTTAGAATGAGGTGTTGTGTGCTGGTAGTGGTATCATGTCTAGTATTTTGTGTGTGTGTGTGTGTGTGTGTGTGTGTGTGTGTGTGTGTGTGTGTGTGTGTGTGTGTGTGTGTGTGTGTGTGTGTGTGTGTGTGTTTCAATTGTTACTATTATTATTATTATTATTATTATTATTTTAGGTTTTATTCATATATTTTACAATTTGAATTTTTAATGGTTGTTTTTGTGTTTAGGTAGTAATGTGTTTTGGTGAAATTCATTATCTCACACACACACACACACACACACACACCATGAGTCCTTTTATATAATTATTTTCACACATTATTATCATCTTTACACATATTTATTAAATATTTCATTATCTCCAGAATTATTATAATTTACTCACGTTTCTCCTCATTTATTCCCTTGTTTCTCTCAGAAGATTTCTCCTCTGTTATCGAAGGTTTGTTTTATGTCTCCTTTTTATTCTGTATTTTGCTTTAATTCTCGTTTATTGCGTATTCCTGCGTACCTACACCTGTTTATTGCGTATTCCTGCGTACTTACACCTGTTTATTGCGTATTCCTGCGTACCTACACCTGTTTATTGCGTATTCCTGCGTACTTACACCTGTTTATTGCGTATTCCTGCGTACTTACACCTGTTTATTGCGTATTCCTGCGTACCTACACCTGTTTATTGCGTATTACTGCTTACCTACACCTGCGTAATTTATGGAAGGTATATAAAGCGAAATATAAAATGCCATAGGAATTTTTTTTTTCCTATGGTATAATTATGTAGTAGAATATAAAATCGTATAGGAATTTTGGTATTTTCCTACTTTTTTTTTATATATATAGTATTTAGTTGAAGTATTTGTATTCTGTCTTGGTTGAGATGGTAAATTGAGAGAGAGAGAGAGAGAGGAGAGAGAGAGAGAGAGAACAACGGCGAACAGACAGAAATATTGATAAAGATGAAAAAGAAAGAGAATGAAGAGTTAAAATTAGAAGGATAGGTAGACATACTGGCACGTAAGGAAAGAAAATAGAGGAGGGACGAAGAGAAAAAAAAAAAAAGGAAAGAGAGAAAATAAACAAAGGAAGATAAGAAAGAAAGAAAGAAAAACATTAGCCACATAACACAGGTACGCGCCAGTCTACAAATCAACCACCGACAGGTGTGTAGAGACGCCCAAACCATGGCTGTTGGTGTGCATATCCTGCAGGAGGTGAAGGGTGCAGGGCCCCAAAGCGCCCCTAGTGGTATCAGGGTCGCCGGTATCAGGGGATGAAGGTGGCCGTCCGCCTGGTGGCTTGTAAAAACCCAATTCACAGAAAATAGCCAATCCTTGATCACTGGTTGTTGTTGTTATTATAGGTAGGACCGAGGGCGAGTGTAAGGAAGGGCACCCCCCCCCCCCCCCCCCCCCCCCCCCCCCTGTTTACTTTCTTTTTGTAATACCCCCCTTCTCTTTATTTTCTACCCACTTCTTCTGTTTGCTCTTACCTACCCATCCACCCCCACATCTCACCCCCTCCTCCTCCTTCTCCCTAACCTAATATAAAACCTCAGCAGACCAAGTGCCATTCAGGTGCCACACCATTGAAAAGGGGAGGGAAGAAAAAAAGAGATGGGTGGAAACACAGGCAAGCAGTGACAAATTGACAGAGAAGCAAAAAAGAAAGACAGAGACAAACACAAATGAAAGGAAGTGAGAGAGAGAGAAATTAAGATTTGAAAGTGGAGAAAGCTAGATTGACAGGCAGAGAGATAAAGAGGGAAGTAGGAAGGGAGAGAGAGATAAAGACAGGCATATAGAGATGGAAATCGAGGAGAGAGAGAGTACTAGGCACCTCTTGTAGTACCGGTGGTGGGGAGGAGGGAGGGGGTTCCTCCATAAACAACATAGACATGCTGCTTTTTTCTGAACACACACACACACTGAGCACATACACACACACACACACATACGCGCGAAAAATAAAACGAAGTCTTATTAAATTTTCAACAGGTCAATACTTTAGAAAAAATGAACGTTGATATTAAATAGGACATTTATTCCCCCCCCCCCCCCCCCCCCCCCCCCCCTCTTTATGTATCAATTACATTTATTTACCTTTATTCTCTGTCTCATTTACAGTGGACTGCGTGGACCCGTCGTGTGGAGGACGGGGATGGTGTGTGGACGGGCGGTGTGTCTGTCGTGATGGTGACTGCTCCACGGTAGATACATGGTGTTCACATGTCTCCCTAACTGTTCTGGTCATGGCCAATATGACCTCCACACCTCCGCCTGTGTTTGTGAGCCATACTGGACCGGTGCTGACTGTGCTGAAGGTAAGGTGTTGCAAAACCAAAAAAAAACACAAAAACAAACCAAACACCAAACCAAAAACACTGTTACTAGGATAGGTAAGGAGCTGTGTTGCGTGTTACTTATGGATAGAGTAAGGTTGATAAGCGTGTTACTTATGGATAAAAAGTGATAAATGTCTGTTACTTATGGATAAATAAAAATAAAATATCAGTTAAGTAATAGATTTAATTTGGACGTTTAAGAGAAGAAAATAAATAAAACGAAGAAAAAGAAACCGGAAGAAAGAAAGAAAGAAAAGAAAAGAAAAAGAAAGAAAAGAAAAGAAAAGAAATAAAGACGAACTATAAAATAACAATAATATAAACACAGAACGAGGTTAACATAGAGATCTAAAGAAAGTCTCACAAACCTATTGACAATAATTAAAATTTTTTCACTGGGGGGAGGGGGAGGATGCTAATTTCCCCATTGTGCACTTCTTAAACAACGGAGCTTGATGCTAATTAAAAGTGAAACTGAGTGTCTAGCTGTCGTCTACACAACTCAGTCCTGCCTCTCTCTCTATTCTCGCCCTCCTCTTTCTTTCCCATCTCTCCACCCCATTATCCATCATCATCATCCGCCCCATCCTCCTACCCACTCTCTATCCTGCCCCCCCCTCCTCCTTCTCCTCCACCCCCCCACCCCACCCCCCCCCCCCACCCCCACCCCCCCACCCCCCCCCCCCCACCCACCCCCCCACCCCACACACAAAAACCCCCCCAACCCAACAAACAAAAACCACACAACACAAACCCCAAAACCAAAACCAACAAAAAAACAAAAAAAAAAAAAAAAAAAAAAAAAAAAAAACCAACACAAAAAAAAAAAAAAAAAACAAAAAAAAAAAACAAACAACAAAACAAAACAAACACCCAACACAACACCAAACAAAAAACCCCAACACACCCCAAACCAAACCCCCCCACAACAAACAAATTAGAGAGAGAGAGAGAGAGAGAGAGAGAGAGAGAGAGAGTACCCCCCATATCAAGCTCATTTATCATACACAACTTCACATTCCACCTGATATTTGCATTTCCTGAATACTTTCCAGTCTTCCGTCGATTTTAATAAAAAAAGTCCACCTTTATATTTCAGGGCTGCCCTGAAACACCCGCCCAGCTTGTTATGTAAACGAACAGGGCTTAGGCTTAATAATGCCTTTTTTCTGTGTGTGTGTGTGTGTGTGTGTGTGTGTGTGTGTGTGTGTGTGTGTGTGTGTGTGTGTGTGTGTGTGTGTGTGTGTGTGTGTGTGTGTGTATTGACCTTCACTACTACAATTATCCCTAACTACTGCCCTCCCCACACTCCTCCCCCACTCCCCCACTACTCCCCCTCTCCCCCACTACCTCCCCCCTCCACTCACTCTCCCTCCCCCCATCCCAACCAACCACCACATCATAATCTCATCTCCACACCAAATCCCTTCTGCCCCCACCTTCCCCACATCCCCACATTCTAAAACCACACCTCTCTACTTCTCATCCTTTCTTCCTTCCCTTCCTCTTCATCCTCCCTCTTCCTCCTCCCTCCTTCATCTCTCCTCCCTCAATAACCTTCATTCAGTTCACCTCCCTCCTTTTCCCTCACTGTCTCCCTCTTCACCATTCTTCAACCACTCCCTCCCACACCTCCCTCCATCACATTCTGCCCTCCATCACATTCTTGCCCCATCACATCTTCTTGCCCCCCATCACATCTTCTTTCTCTATCACATTCTTTCCCATCACACCTGCCCTCTAACCTTCCTCACCCTCACGTCCAATATGCAGTTTGTTGCTAATGGTTTTCGATTTGCATATCCACAGCTTTTAAGGTTCTATGTTGGAACCACCAATTTAGAGCTGATGATGGATTGACTTTATGACTGTGTGTGTGTGTGTGAGAATGTTACCTGGTGTGTTTGGATGTTACCTGGTGTGTGAGGATGTTACCTGCTGTGTGTGTATGTATGTTACCTGGTATGTGTGGATGTTGCCTGGTGTGTGAGGATGTTACCTGGTGGGAGGATGTTACTCAGGAGGATGTTACCTGGTTGTGTGTGTGTGTGTGTGTATGTTACCTGGTATGTGGGATGTTGCCTGGTGTGTGAGGATGTTACCTGGTGTGAGGATGCACGTGTGTGAGGATGTTACCGGTGTGTGTGTGTGTGTGTATGTTACTTGGTGTGTGAGGATGTTACCTGTGAGGATGTTACCTGGTGTGTGAGGATGTACCTGGTGTGTGAGGATGTTACCTGGTGTGAGGATGTTACCTGGTGTGAGGATGTTACCTGGTGTGAGGATGTTACCTGGTGTGTGAGGATGTTACCTTGTGTGGGAGGATGTTACTGGTGGTGGATGTTGCCTGGTGTGTGAGGATGTTACTCTGGTGTGTGGGATGTTACTTGGTGTGTGTGGATGTTACCTGATGTGTGAGGATGTTACCTGGTGTGTGATGTTACCTGGTGTGTGTGGATGTTACCTGATGTGTGAAGATGTCACCTGGGTGTGAGGAGTTACCTGGTGTGGTGGATGTTACTGGGTGTGTGAGGATGCATCTGGTGTGTGGGATGTTACTGGTGTGTGAGGATGCTATCACTTGTGTGTGAGGATGTTACCAGTGTGTGTGGATGTTACCTGATGTGTGAGGATGTTACTTGGTGTGTGAGGATGTTACCTGGTGTGTGAGGATGTTACCTGGTGTGGATGTTACCTGGTGAGAGGATGTTACCTGGTGTGAGGGACATCATCTGGTGTGTGAGGATGTTACCTGGTGTGTGAGGAGTTTGGTGTGAGGATGTTACCGGTGTGTGGATGTTACCTGATGTGTGAGGATGTTACTGGTGTGTGAGGATGTTACCTGGTGTGTGTGGCTGTTACCTGGTGTGTGAGGATGTTACTCTGGTGTATGAGGATGTTACCTGGTGTGTGGGATGTTACCTGATATGTGAGGATGTTACCGGTGTGTGATAGCATTTGATGTGGGAGGATACCTGATGTGTGAGGATGTTACCTGGTGTGTGTGGATGTTACCTGGTGTGTGAGGATGTTACCTGGTGTGTTGAGAGGATGTTACCTTGTGTGGATGTTACCTGTAAGGGACGCTACTCTCTCTCTCCTGCTCACCTTTCGTCCTACCTGCCTCCCTCCCATTCTTTCCCGTTTCCCCTTCCTTGCTCCCCTCTCATTTTAGTTTGTTTCGTTCTTCCTCCTTTCCACTCGACTTCTCTCCCCACCCTCACTCCCACACCCATTTCCCACCCATCGACCCTTCCTCCTCCCTCGCACTTCATCCCTTCCTACTTCCCTCCCACACTCTAATACCATCCCTCTACTCCTTTCCTCCCAACCCTTCCCCTATGTCCCTTCCTCCCCACACTCTGTTTCAAACCGTCCCTTTCCAGCCCTTTCACCCCATTCTCACTCAGCCCTTCCCAGCCCTCCCTCTTATCCCAATCCTCCTCCCAGTAATCCTCTTTATCACAGTCTCAGACCCCCAGCTCCCACAGCCTCTACCTCCCCGACTTAATATTATGCCTGGTCTGCCCTGCACTGTCAACACGAGCATAGTTGACATTCTTATTACTCCACCCGAGGCGCCCCTGAACACACGCTCATAAACAACGGAACTGATCGAACCCCTGCCAAGGATTCAATTTCACCGAGGTTCCTCCGAGTCGTAATCCCCGTGCTTTTTACGAGCGGCTCTTTCGTCAAGGGGAGAGTGGAATGAATTTACCAAGCACCGCTACAGAAAGTCCTACAGTCCTACACCATCGATAGGACGGCGTAATATTTTTTTTTGTTTTCTAGGTGGTTTGGGGAGGGTAGGGCCGGATGGTGATGGTGTATAGGAGAGCAGGGTTAGTGGTGGTGGGGAAGAGGGTGATAGTGGGGGCTAGAGACGAGTGGTGGTGGTGGGGGTAGCGGCCTGTATGTTATTTCTATGTTTTTGAATTCGGTTCGTTTCATCGGATTCGAAACATCTCTTGCTGCAGGATTTGGGGTTTTGTTTATTTTTTTATTTGTGTGTGTGTGTGTGTGTGTGTGTGTGTGTGTGTGTGTGTGTGTGTGTGTGTGTATTGGAAAGTCGTCGGGAACATCACCTGTAATTAAAGGATTAGAAATACAGGAGTTGTGAGACTTAGGATCGTTGTCTCGTTTATGGGTTTGGTCTCAACGATGTGTAACTCAGGGAAGTGGAGACCCGCATGCCTCAAGAGCTGGAAGTACTATAATGGTGATCATCTGAAGCTTAGACATCTCAATTTATTTCACCTGATGATTAAACACCTAAACGCTGCCTGAAAGTTATGTGAGGTTATGTTACTGTTAGGTTAGTGTTAGGTTAGGTTAGCCATCAGTCAGAAATACTAAACACACTTTTAGTTCAAGACCGGAAATAAAATACGTCTTTAGGTAATGAAAATATCTCAATGGTTGAAAAAAGTACAAAAAAAAAGAAAGTTTGATGTAGAAAAGTAAAACCCAAGAAAAAATATATTCTTTTTATCAGAATTTTTGAGACGTATCTAGGATTTTAAACCAGAAACCAACATTGTGTTTTATAGTCAAAAAATTCTTCCTCCTCTCGATCCCACCCAGAAAACACAGTGGACTACAGACTCAACGCAAATATCTGAAACTATACGCAAATCTGGACTTTCTGTGTGTGTGCGTGTGTGTGTGTGTGTGTGTGTGTACCTGAACCAAGTCATTACAATATTATTCATACAAATCCAGAAAATAATTCCTCGACATAAAAAATAAAATAAAATCTGAAATTAAACTAATACGCATCAGTTTGTCTTGAACCACACTCACTCATCTTCGCTCTAATACAAGTTATGGTCATTAGATAATTAGCAAGACCACCCCCACCCTCCCTCTACTCACATCCTAACAGTTGTTGTAGGATTATAATGCCCCCTCGGCCCCCCTCCCCTGCCCCCAAGTTCAATCTGAGGACGGTGGCCTTACGTCAGATTAAATATCGA